AATCAATGGCCAGGTACCTTCTCTACCTTCCACACCTTCTGCAATAGTGGTGTGAGCATGTCCGCTGTTGTCTCTGCATCTGTTCTCAGTGCTTCTGGCGGTATTCCATCTGGTCCTGCTGCTTTCCCGCATTTCAGTAGCTTTATGGCGTTCAGGACTTCCATTTTCGTTGGGGGATTAATGTTCACTTGTAATTCAGCGGCTGCAGGTGGTATTTCTGGACGAAGTGCAGGTGGTGGTCGATTCAAGAGCTTCTTGAAGTGGTCGGCCCATCGTTTCCTCTGTTTCTCTTCTTTTGTAATTAAATTTCCTTCTTCATCTTTTATTGGTTTCATCTGTGTTGGTCTCTTCCCTGACAGCAACCTGGTTATTTGATACAATGTCGTCAGGTCTCTCTTGCCTGCAGCCTGTTCTGCTTCACTTGCCAGTGTTTCGTAGAAGTGTCTTTTGTCTTTGCGTGCACTCTTCTTCACTTCTTTATCCAGTGTTTTATACATTGTGCTCAGTTCCTCTTGTCGTTGAGCATCCTTGCACTGGTTTATCTTCTGCTTCACCATCCTCCCCTCCTCTATCAGCTTCCAGGTATCCGTCGAGATCCATTCCTTGTCTTCTTTCTTCTTCCTTCCTAATACTGTTGTGCAGGTTTCTTTCCACATAGCTTTCAAAGACTTCCAGTGTTCTTCCACACAGGTTTCTTCACGGATGTTGCTCGATGTCTCCCATTTTGTCTTGATGGCTGCTTTGAAGATCTCCTTTGTAGTTTCATCTTCAGTTTCCTAGTGTTGTACTTGAATTGAGGTCTATCACCAGCTTCCTTGAAGGCTTTTAACTTGATTTGGAAGGTTCTTGCACTAGATAGTGGTCTGAGCCTACATCTGCTCCTTTCTTGACCTTGTGTTAAGTAGACTGCGTCTCCATTTTCTTGAGATTGAGATAAAGTCGATTTGATTTTTAGTGTGTCCATCTGGTGAAGTCCATGTCGCTTTGTGGATATCCTTGTGCCTGAACACACTGCCTCCAATCACCAAATCGTTGAATGCGCAGAATTCTGCAAACAATTCTCCATTCTCATTCATTTCACCTAGCGCCTCTCGACCCATGGTTAGTTCTCTTCCCGTGTTGTCCCCTCCCAGTTTGGCATTCAAGTCGCCCATTAGAATTTTGATATCGCCAACTGACGTCTTGTCCAGTGTTGACTGAAGTTGTCTGTAGAATTCCTCCTTTTTCTCTTGCTCTGCATTATTTGTAGGTGCATAACATTGTATGATTGTGACCTTCCTTCCTCTTGAGTTGAATCTTGCTGTCATGATCCTGGAGGAGATTGGTTCTCACTGCATGAGAGCCTTCGATGCTCTTGAGGACATCATGATAGCCACTCCCTCAGTGTGCTCGTGGTTGGCGTCTGGGTGACCGGAGTAGATTGTTGATTCTCCAGTTGACAGTTTGGAAAGTCCACTCCCATTCCATCTGCTTTCGCAAATCCCAAGCACTTCGATGTTATACCTTCTCATCTCCTTTGCAATCTGGGCTGCCTTACTGGGTTCAAACATGGTGCGGACACTCCATGTCCCCACGTTTACTTTTGCTTTCATCGAGAGAAGACACATCGGCCAATTGGCTTCCCGAAGGCTTTCACCAACTGGCGTCATTTCGCCTCTCCGATTCCAGCGGGGAATAAGTTTGTTTTCATTTTTTATATTTTGTTTGTGCTTTGAAGTTTCTTTAGCGGTTAGATTTGTTTTACGGGGTAGGGTTGCTAGCCCTATGCCCAACCTTCCCTCTTTATTGGGGCTTAGGACCGGCTAGTAACTAGTAAACTAGTTAACCAGGCGAGGTTCTGCTTTCCCATGGTCACCACTATTTCCCAACGTAGCGTCTACAATTACTAAAACATGCTGACATTCCCTCGTGCCTTTTTTCGGCGCTTATTGGATGTGGAATTCGTACTCACCACTGAAGCGGTCTACTCTAAGGCTATGTTAACAGGGAAGCAGTCTCTGACCACGGCGTTTTCCTTCTTACCTCCATTTAGGCAAAGACCTCTTGGCGCCAATCATTAAAGAATGAACATTTATAATCTAATGACCTTCCTTACTGCTATCTTTAGCAGTCTTTTTGGAATAATACAACCTCTTCCGATTGAAGTTTGTATAGAGGCCTTGACCTTAAGATGATAGAGTCACTTTTAACTAGCTCTCAGCTTATTTGATATTTGCTTTTAGTCCCGCCATAAGGACGTAAATACCAGCCTGCACCAAACGAGCCATTTTGCATTGCCTCATATCAACCAGGCGGCTGGGTAGCCTCATGGAAGCGGTGGGCGCAAAGCCAATGACCCACCGCCCGCACGGAACCAATGACCTTTCCGCAACCAACCCTTCCAATAAGAGAGATGAGAATTGATCCTTACTATTTGTCTCTCACCAACAAGCAAATCTCTGATCTATGATTCTGAAACTTTTCAGCTTTCCACGTAACCTAGAATGAGGTACCATGTTGAATAAACTACTGACTTCTATGAAAATGACACCTACGAGTATTCTATCATTCTTAAACAACCTGACTTTCTTTGATTGCAGGAAGGTTATTTTAGCAAAAGAAATTTCTACGAAAGCCCCCGTGCGAACTAGACAGTACAGCGCTGCCCTCTTGGTTAGCCGTAATGGCTATCTGGATTGCTATTTATGGGCTGTTTACGACAGTGCTAGTCAGATTCATCAGTCTGTTACCTGATGAGTGTCGCGTGGAACCCGCCATGGAGATAGGTGTGGCTATATCGTCCCTGTAATCGTGGGGGAGCATGCCTTCACTGAGGGACTGTCTAAATATAGTAGTCAGTTGGCCGCCTTCAAAGTTTGGAAGCCCTCTGAGCGGCCTTAGACGCGACTCATCCGGTTTTGTTTATTTTCCTACCCTGAGGGCACTCAGTGTCCGAAATACTTCATTGTCATAAATATACAGAGTTTATTCTGCTGGGTGTCAGCGCCTCCACTGTTGAATTAAGGCTTATGAAAAGTTTCTGCGCAAAGACCTTGGTACAATACACAGCCACAGCTTCTGAATTCGCTCATCATCTTCAGCCAAACAGTTGGTCCTGTCCCTTTTATTGGAGCACACGTCTCATTCTCATGGTTCATATAAGAAAATGACCTCTTTGGATGTTAGAATGCAGCCCGGGCGAGATGTGTTTCAAAGCGTTCTCGAGGCCAGCTGGTGGCAGTGATATACTTATCTCTGTCCTCTTTGTAGTGCTTTTCACCTTGACGGTACCGTGGTGGGTAGCAGGGCTACAAACCTTCGGTGGCGTCACACACCTCCCAGAATCAATAGCCTGGGTTTCGACAGGATTCAACACTGATGCTGACCCTCATAGTTTTACCGGATCGCTAAGCTGAAGGCACCAGGTCGAGCATCCTCGCCGTCTGGCACGCTGTCGTGTTACGATCCGCTTCTGGTAATTGACCCTCTAGACAATCGGTTAAAACGCATTGGTATCTTAGGCACAACCAGGCGGCTATACTATTCCATCTGACTACGCTACTGTGTTCTTTCTCGGTCTCATACTCGCTGGTATATAACAGGCACGAACAATTGGTGATTAGCCTCTGTGTCTGTCCAGTTTGCACTAGGATAGTTCCTAGGATTTATCTTGCTCCGCAGCACGATTGGGAATTCGCGATCCACGGAGAACAGTGTTTCCATCCCCTCAGAATAGTTCAAGGAATGAGTGGTTGAGTTAATCGTGCACATAACTGTCTGAAGGAACTTTATGCAGCCTCAAGTAGGGCTTCGTGGCTGACTTTTCGGTCTGCTGAAGATCCTACTACATCAGTCGCTGCCATACTTACTTTCCGTACATAGTGTCCAGCTGGGGCATCGGCCTGGTCACGAGAAGGATGTTGTAAAACTGCAGATGACCACAACATGATCATTTCTACTGCGAGGCATATGGTACCGGATTAATGTGTTTCATAGTCACCGATCTTAGAAGAAGACCAAGTTCCTAAGGTAGCAATCATGTCAGGACTTTCTGTGCCCATTACATAACTAAACTCAGCTTGCTGATTTAGAAGAATACGCACACTTGTGTGCAAGATAATGAATCCACTTAGTTGGATGTTTATTTTGTATGCAGGGGCTTAGGAATCCTTTCTTCCGAATCCTTACCACAAGATAAGCTACCAATTATAGATCTATCTCTCCCGTTGCCAATCTACACTTTAGTTCTTCTACTTCCTCTTCCCTTCTTACTCAACCAGCAGGAAGCAAGCCTTTGCACACTACCACTCCTATTCCTCTGAGCCGGTCGGTGTTCTTTAGAATGTGATACCTCTCCACTGTTGACTTTATGTAGCCGGAATCTTTATCGGCAGGCAATCTCTTTTCGACTACTGTATGATTCTTGAGTGGAATGACCCCTGGTATGTTTTCTTTTGCAAGCTTGTTCACCGAAATACTTACCTTACCCAGGTTATGTTCGAAACTTTTATATTGTTCTAAGTCTATACTTTCTTCCACTCCGCAGAAGCTGATGACAATTGCTGATAGTTAATATTAGACTGCACAACAAATTTGCAGACAGCGAATACGATAAGGGAGCAAGGAAAAATTCTGATGGATAAGATTTAAGAGTTAGAAGTTTCCAATCTTTTATGCCCAAAAGATTGCATTGCCTCCATTTTCATTTTGTTTGAATCCGTCACTTACACTTTCGATGTCCATGTAATCAAAAATATTTTCTGTGATCGTGATGAGTTTGCCGTTTTCTTCAGATGATGACATATGTAGGTTGTGTTTATATCACATTCAAGTGGTTAAGTAAATCAATCTAGCGAAGCCTTCCAAAATATATCTCCACTTTCGGCAAGGTTCTCAAAATTCCTACAAGAATATACGAAGGAAGAGGGAAATAATGCCATAGGACCTTGGCATAAAAACAGAGAAACCATTTACAACAAAGTGAGCATGGTTCTGATTTTTATCTCGTAGGGAGTAATCTCATGAAAGCCTCTTCTAGTGAATCATGTTCTGGTTCTCTTAATACTTCTCTTTTGGGTTCACAAGAAACGTCCAAACATAACTACAGAGAGAACAATTTGCTGAGGTAATAAGAATTTTATGTCATTTTTCCTAGAAACCAGATTACATTGATTCGCAACAATCTAAAGCTTTTGAAGTCACAGGTGATGTACTAATCTTTCTTAATACTTTTTCCAGGTTGATTTTTTAATAAAGTTTAGAAGTACAGAGACTGGTGGTAAGTTATATGTCTTGGAATAAATTTCTGGAGTCTTTTATGATATTATTCGCCTTGCTAAAGTATCTAAGTTTTGGATTATTTAGCCTTTTAGGTCGCGAATTAACCTGAAAAGTATTTTGCTGAGGAACCCAATAGTCATTCTCTTGTAAGAGTTTAACTGTGTTGCCATTGTCCAACACTGAACCAGTCTAACGTAAATCACTTTGAATTAGCATTTGGCTAATCAGTATATTACGTGTGTTAAGGTGCTGACAACAAAAAAACAAATTAGGAACATCTTATGTAGTAAAAAGTATTCAAGTATGAAAAACTTATTTGGATCACTGAGCATCCTTTCCAGTTTTCATTGCCCTGCTGAAAGATATATTTATTGCATGGAAAGGAGTTGCTAATTTATAGAGCAACGTCAAAATTTGGTAGAGAGAAATAGCAGAATCACTGAGAAATTACTAGGCAAGAAAGCTAGACGGATGAGAGATCAGCTAACACTGACTGAGATATCTGTGATACACCTTAGCTAATGAAGGATTATGGTGATTATTCTGTTAGTCCGAAACAGTGAGGCGTTGGTTGTCGTTGTTCAGTGGTAAAGACAAAAGTCTGCAATCTCGCGTTACTCTTCAACTTGGTTTTTCGATTCCTTTCAGAAATTTTTCCAAAGGGATAGCCATTATTTGTTCTGTTAGTGAGCTTTGGCTGTTATTCAATGTTTGGGAGAACCGCGACTTTACTACGAGACGACTTAGCTATGACTTTTTTTTACCTTGTTTTGATGACTCCTGAACTGATAAGGCATACAGTTAGTAAAATGATCAGACAAACCAACAGGTGGGTCACTACTAAATATAAGGGCTAAAATTAAATTACTTCTATTCTTACATAAGAAAGTGGCAAAAGATTTGGTAATTGTCTGTCATATTTGAGGTCTGGAAGATCCGTTATTAGTATAGAATTAGCCTTCTGGACCCAAATTAACGCATTAGTTTTCTCCATAAATCACTGCTAGCCACCTGAGCACATTGTTCTAAACCAGGCTCTACATAACTGGAATATAGAAATCCTAAAAGTATATTTATCTACGCGTTTGAGTCCTCTCCTGTGTAAACAAATTACGCGATGCGTCATAGTTTCAAAAGCGCTTCAACTTGCAATTATTTTTAGGTTCAAGCTTACGATAACCCCTGAATCCTTTTGTTCTAATGCGGGGTATTGATGGGAAACCTAGAGAATAACCGCCATATTAGTCAGCCATAGTGGAAACATTTTCAGGTTTCATCATTAAGACATTTGAAGCAGTCCACACCTATCACAATCACAGCAAGTAACTCGTCATATCTTGACGTCATCATTGAATGGCAGTGACAATTACTTCAGCGTTTCAGGTGTTTGGTTAGCCCAAAGAAAAGTAGCAGTCCAAGCGTAGTCCCCTGGTGAACACCACCCATACAATATTCCATTTTCCTTCCCCTTTTCCTGGCCGGTAGTTGCTATCTTGACGTGGTGGTCGGGCTGGCATATCACAATGATCCAACGGGCTATGCTGGTGGGACGCTTTTTCTTTTGACGTCCTACCATACTATAAAGCTCCGTTAGATAGTGGTAAAACGAAAAGCAGTTACTTTTTCAGTATGAACTAATACATTATGACAAGGGTCTGAGGGCGAAATCCTGCTGTTACCAGCTGGATAGGGTGTGGTGGCAGTTAGGTGTTCCCCTTGGATTACCAGCAGTGCCACTCTGGTGCTGCCTTCCCAACAGCAAAATAGGAAGTTCAAAATGGTCGACCAGCCAAAATAAAACACCCATCCCTGCTTCGTAGGTGCCAATTGCATAGGTTTTCTCTATCCGACTTTAGAATAACCAAGCCTCAAGACAACATCCCTCAAAACGTCATGTGCGACAGGCCTCAAACAGATATCTCATGGGCTCTGAGTCACAGAAATCCTTTTCTCTTTCAGGTACCTTAAGAGGAAATGGCCTTTTGTGGTTTAGGAAGGCGGGAAGTATCAACCATCCACGTGCTTCCAGCGGCACACAAGATCCAGTGAAAAATCTTCTGTCCTCCTCAGGCTTCTCTCTTCTATTTCATTCACCTCCTGATACCAGTATTAAACCACTTAAACCTTCCTCAGCTTCCCTCTCTGAGACCATTTTCAATAATCGAAGCCATTGAAAGCTCATTTCTAGTTTCTGAAGACCCCAACATCGTTTTCATGTGCGAGATTTCGACACCCAAACGCTACGTTAAATCGGACGGCAGGCATCGCTCGTCAGAACTCTAGAATCTCTAGCCACTGATGTATGCTGTGTTTCCGGGACACTTCTTCAGGACCCGAGTGTGATTATTCATCACTTTGCCTCACTTGACCATAGTAATGAATCTTTCAAATTCATCCTATGAGTATCAGGAGGCCCAATGACTAGTTCTCGTGGACTCACTAGTGTAGGCATAACATTGAGCTGTAATGTAGAATGTGCGTTTCTGGACTGTATACTAGTCAACAACCGTCTATGTGCTGTTCGACCGAATGGATCTACTGGAACTAGGAAAGATCGTCAGACTGGGGATTTCTATTTGTAATCTCCACGTACCCACCCACCGGCTGTAGTTCACATGATAAAAAGAATGAATCCCATGGAAAGTTGTCAGTTTTACTGAACAAAACAAAACGTTTACATGTAGTCATAATATCAGGTGACTTCACTGCTCAGGTAGAGAAGCCGAGCTAGTCATAAAGGGATCTTGAGGGATTTACAGAATTCCATGCCAATAAAATGACAGCAGTCATCTTTTCGTACAGTTTTGTCCCGACAATCACTCGTTTTTGACCAGAACTAACTTTGGGCATAAGGCGAAATACTGTCTCTCATGACATCTGCCGAATTCAAACCTACGATAGACATAGACAGATTGGACTGCAGTAAAATATGGTTAGAGAGGTTCAGTAGAGGATTGTCGCTGTTTCTGGAGTACTAGTCGGGACTCCGACGACGCATTGACTTGGGCTTTTTGTGTCTGCTCCTTAGTGGTCGCAGAAAACTGGAGGCAGCAAAGCCTATCTGTGCTCAATTGGAGGACAAGGAAGCGAGGTATGCACTTAGAGAGGAGTTAGCCAGGTATTTCTCTGGACGTGACAGTAATGCTAATCCTGAAGAAATCCGGTGTGATATTAGGTCTGCTGTAGAAATAGTGGTAAAGGCAATTGGTAACATATACCCACAGGTTAACAAATGTCACTGGATTTCCGTAACGTCATCCGAACTGGTTAGCGTAAGAAGACTGATTCTAGCTGACAATGAACAGCAAAAGACGTTGAAATGTGAGTCAACCAGGAGTCTTCACGTCGACCGCTCGCAGTGGCGGGTGGTCAAAACAAGAGAGGTGGAGAAAGCATGAGAGTTGGTTAAAACTCAGCAACTATTTAGGCTCATTATGATACCGGTAAGAAGAGGACGAATATCGGTGAAACCACCGCTGGAAAGGATGGAACGCTGGTAACCGTTCAGGACAGGTGGCTAGAATCTTGGTTAGAACACTTAAGCCCAGTTCATATGGCTATAGCAACACCTCAGCTGCACACCTTCTATTATGACCCTAAGTAGGATGCAGATGTCAATCCTCCAACTCTTCTTGTATGTAGTTGGGAAAGATGTATCGAACCTGCAACAGCAGCAGCACCTGACAGTTAACCACGTGAAGTTTTCAAGGACGGAAGTAGGAAATTGGTGATTTGAGTGACGGAGGTACTAGATAGTGTATGGGACTCAGAAGCAGTCCAATCAGACTACTGTATTCTTCTTGTGAATACCGTGGAGGAACTAATTAGACTAATTTTATGTCCAAGATCCTAGGGTTCATTATTATCCAAGGCCTGACCGAACCTCTAGAACAGCAAACTTGCGAAAACCAGACAGTCAGTTTTCAGACCTGGACGAGGGTACATCGGTCATATCTCCATCCTCCGACAGGCTCCAGAACACAGGCGTATTTACCGGCCAATGACAGACACTTCCCATATTTGTCGACGTGAAGGTGGTATGTGATTCAGTTGACCAACAAGTGTTGTGGCAGTGTCTGACTATAAAGACAGTGGTTCACTCCCTGAAGGTCATGCCTTCGACTTGGAGCATGCAGAGGATATTTTCCTGCTCAGTGAAGATGCTGACAAAATGCAGGGTCCTCTAGATGCCTTGAGTAAGAACCTGAGCTTCTTTGGCCTTGCATTTCGTTGGCACGTGTCAAATGTAATATCATGCTTCGGGACAGCAACTATTCCCAGTTTAATGATAGGGAGCCAAGTGGTGGAATGTGTCAGTAGCCTCACTTAATTGGGAGAGTTGCAGCAGTCTAAACGCGATAGTTGCTGATGGAATATCAACTCGGATACATAAGGACTGTTTGTCATTTGCCAGCTTGCGTCATCTACGGCGATGGGGAGATATCCGGCCATCTACTGATGGACGAGTATAATCCACAGCAATTCGTTCTGTCCTGTTGTGCGGCTGTGAGACATGGCTGTTAAAAGTAGAAAAAATGAAGCGAGTTTTGATGCAGATATCTTCGTAGCATTACTTGCGTTTGTTTGAATCACCGTGTGACCAATTTTGAGGGCAGGCGAAGAGAACTAGGCAAGATGTGCAAGTAGGTTGGTGAGGTTGTGAACCTTAATCGACTGAGATGGCTTGTGCATGTACTGCGCATCCCGAGCGTTGTCCAACTCCATATGCCATGCTAGGGGAAGCTGGATTAGGTCAGAAGACGCGGATAGCACCAGTTGGTGGAGTCCCTAACTGTCGGCCTGAGTCATGTGAGGGGATCCAGATTGTCTGTTTGGGGTCTGCGAGACAAAAAGAATCGATAGTTGGAGAGAGCTGGTGGTATAGCTAAAAATCGGTCACAATGGTGCAGATGTATTCACTACTCGACATCTTCTAAAGCTTCAGTATTTGCACTACCCGTTATCTTCAGATGGTTTATTCTCTCACTTAACTTTGTC